TCCATAGCGTTCACAAGAGCTATTTATAATCCGCGAACGCGGAAGTGATACCGGCCGTGACGTCACTTCCGCGAACCACGGTGGAGAGCAGGGAACCTCCCCCTATATATATATATAGTACACAGAGTTTGGAAATAAAGGAGCATAGTTTAAAAAAAAAACATGAGCATCTACACACAGCACACATATGTCACAGTCATTGTATTCACCAGATATGCATAAACCACACCACACCACAATCATATGCATTTCTGCACACTGCAAATAGACAGAGAGCCAACTATTTGGGTCAGATAAACTATTGAAGGTGCATCAAAAAAAAGGAAGGATTTGAACAGTAAGATGTGACTTATGCACCAAAAGTTAAAAATACCAACTAAAAAAAAGTTGCATAATCTGCAACAAAAAGTAACTGTCACAAGACAGTCAAAATCATGGTTTTGTCACCTAATAAACTAAACGTGTTGCAACATAATAGTTTATGTGCATTGCAATGTCAGATGTACCGTGTGACAATTCCCATTCTCTACAACCACAAATCATAGTTACATTGCCCTCTCTCCCAGCTATTCCTATCTGTGAGTGAAGATTGAAGATCATGCCCCTTGTCTGAGAAGTCTGTCTGTCTACCTTAAAGAAGAGTTCAAAAGAGAGCTATGAGGTGAGTGATTTCCACTCATCCTCATAGTTAGAGCCGATGTGTGACAAAGAAGCTGTCACAGGTCGGCTCTATCGATCGGGAAGTGAGCAGAAACATGCACCGATCCGCTTATTTCCCCCGATCGTCTCCCTGCAGTGAGAGATGGCTCTCAGTCACCGCTCCCCACAGGGATTCTCCCCTCTCCGATCCTCCAGCGCTGAGTGGAGGAATGAATTGGAGAGGGGACGGGCACAGCTGGCTGTGCCTCTAGATTGGCAGAGCCAGCTGTCACTCACACAGCTGGGTGTATCTTAACAGGAAGAGGTTAGTATATGTCCTCCCGTGACCCAAAAGAGAACTATGGGGAAAAACACACCCCATAGTTCTCTTTTGGTTATAACCCCTGTCATGTTTTTTGTTTGCAATCTGTGTCCTATTGGGGATTAGCCTTCACTTCCTTTTCAATAGCCACAACAGGGAGTGAAAAGAAATCCCTGCAAAGACAGGGAGATCCCTGGTGGTCAGCAGGGTCACCATAAATAGTGCCCCCTTTGGAAAATGTCCCAACTATTCTTGTTCTGATGATAACCCAATTTGGGATTATCTTTCACTTTCAGTCACCAGGATGAATAGAGGGGGTGAATCTCCCTAACGGGGACACAAGCAGCAGCGAAAACCTGCCAAGTGTTCTAATCCCTCTCCACTTCATTTAAAACTAAAAATAATAGTTTTGGTTTCAGTTGCATTTTAAAATATAATAGGGTCTGGTTGGTAGACATGTGCGGTTCATTTAGGAAAGATTCGTTATTCGGACAAACTTTCGGAATTTCGTACATTTGGATGCATACGAATTTCCGAATGACAGAAATAACGAATGCGAACGAATACAAATTTCTGATGAGGAAAATTTTGGATGCATCCAAATTTCTTTCCCTTTAATTGTGTTAAGCACTAACTTTAAAAAAAATCAAAATTTTTATGTATGTATGAATTTTGGTAACAAATTAATTATAGTTGCAGTAAAGTGACATTAGACAAAAGGAGAAAAAAAAATGACATTGGTTTTTTTACAGTCCGCACAAGAAAAAAGAGTGAGGGCCCCCCCCCCCCTCAATTAATACCAGACCCTTTAGGTCTGGTAGAAATGTTAGGAGGGACCCCACCCCAAGTTAAAAAAAAAAAGTGTGGGGTTCCCCCCAAAAGCAGGGCAGGAAAGGGGGGGGGGCATTTGAGCCCCCCCTCCCTGCACCATACCAGGCCACGTGCCCATGGTTTTAAGGAGGGTGGGGACAAGGGCCTCTTCCCCACAACCTTGGCACGGTGGTTGTGGGGGTCTGCGGGCAAGGGGGCTTAATTGCATTGGGGTAGCCCTATAATTAAGGGTGCCCCCACTTTTGAATGATTAAACGGTACTTGCACCCCTACTCATTCACAAAGGGTTAAAAGTAAATGTAAATAAACATACCACAGATTTTGAAAAAGTCCTTTAATTAAAAAATAAAATAAAATGGATCCATCAGTGTAATCCAGCGTCAATCACGGCTTACCCTTAGACCGGTCCTTGCAGCCGCACTCCCCCTCCGCTGCAGCGATCTAAAGATGCTCGAGTCATCACATCCAATACACTGTGTATTAGACGTGAGGACACTAAGGTATATACCCTCACTGGAGTGTAGGAGGAGAGAGGATGGAGGGAGCACTGTGACAGTCGGCTGACTCTGGGGTTTGGGTGAGTGTAACCTTTTTATTTTAGTCATCAGACACAAACGAGCAGTTAACCCTTGCAATGTGAAGGTAGCCTTACCTTGTAAAAGTAGTGGTGACATCATGATTGTGCTGGACATGCTTCTGCCTGCAGAAAACTACAGAAGGAGGGGACACATAAGACCAGTCAACTTGCGCAAGGAGAGAGGAGCAGTGATCAGTCTTAATACAGGAAGCTCCTGCACAGAGGCAAAGTTTTACACTGGATTAGATAGATAGATAGATTTATTTATTTGTCACATACATAATCGTACAAGTATGATATGCAGTGAAATGCTTACACGACTGCAAGAAGGAGAGGGAGAAGTACAAGTAGAGAGAAGAATCAATAATAATATAAAACTTTTACATCACAAAATAAAATATAAAGGTTAAAATTTAAATATTAAAAATTAAATTAGACTAAAAATGCAAATACAGTATGAAGTGTAAAGTGTGTGAGTGCTAACAGCAGCAATACGGAGTGAATGAATTAAGGTGATGGCCAGCATTGTATTGACCTTTCTTTGACCATTCTTTTAAAGTGCAGATGTGCAGTAAATGTGAGTGTAAGAACATTTACCTAATCAAGCAGTAAAATGTATTGTGCGGCGGGGATGGAGAGGCTGTCACTTGTCCAGCAGAATGTGCTGCAGGCACTGCCAGGCAGCACATTCTGCTGTGTGGGAGAGGACCCTCTCCGTTTAGTCCTGCCCCTGGCCGTCGAGACACAGAAGAAGGTCCTGCAGGACAGGTAATTATGGTGAAGGCTGAAACGGGGTGGGGGGGGCTTTGGAGAGGCATTGCTGATTTTCATTATAATTTATTGCTGGGACTTGTAGTCTTGCATAGCTGGTGGTATTCTGCATTGCTGTATAATTATTATACAGCAATGCAGAATACCACTAACTATGCAGGACTACAAGTCCCAGCAATACATTATATTAAGTAGGGATGCACCAATGCCAATATTGGGCATTTTCACGATGTACTCATACTCGTGAAAATGCCCCTATACTAAGCACAGATACCAGTGTTCTGTCGAGAACGTCAACCTAGTCGAATTTGCCGACCTCGGCATCTGCGCATGCTTACAGACCACAGACCAGTATTATCCAGGAAACCGGCATTTCTTGACAAAGTATTTTGTTTAAATCGTTAATTGTGACCGTTAATAATATTCCACCCATCATTTACTGCCATGGATGGCATATTATTAACGGTCACAATTAACAATTACACACTAATAATTTGTAAATAAATGCCGGTTTCCTTGTTAATCCCATCTTTGCGCAAGCGCAGATACTGTGTCGGCTTTCTCGACAGAACACTGGCACTAAATTTTTAAACTGAAGCAGCTGCTTGAGGTCCCGCGCTTGCTGGGGACCTTGGCAGCCTTCCTGTTAACCACACGGTGCCTGTTTATAGTGCCTTCTCAGACTAACTACAGTTAACTAACTCAATTTCACAGCACTCCTGCTTACAGAGTGCTACAGACTTGTATACACTTCTCCTGCCTTCCACATTACAGTGGTGGGTATCAAAGCCGTCATATTCCTGGTCCATGAATTGTCATGTAGGGTGCATGCCTAGCCATATATTAAAAAGCAATACCAGCTAGCAGTACTGGAGAGGTAAGACCAGACGCCCTCATGTGCCCGGTTCAAACCTCACTGTTGTCTGCATTACTTACATCTAGGTACTGTCACTTTAAAATGTATGTAAACCCTAATAATGAATTTTTCTTATTTGTTCCATTTTGGTCTGTTAAATATACCACTCAAAAGCATTTTGTTATTTATGTTAAATAAGTTCCAAAAATACCTGCCAGAAATTTGTCAGCTGATAACTTCTTATGCTCTCCACCTATACTGCAATATTATCAGATACATTGTTCCCAGCTATCTCCGAGGACTACAGAGCCCCTCACCCTATGTTATGTAGAAGATAACAGAGGAATAGTTTTTTTTTATCCAAATCTGCTAAGCAGCCTAGTTGACAACATTATTTCTCCATAGATATAGTACGGTGAGTAAGTGTTGTCACCCTAGGACAGGAAGTGTGTTACTGGCAGGATCGCCAAGTAAAAACAGAAGGAAAAGAGCATGCAAAGGAGAAAGCAACTGCAAACATCACATCAATTGACTTATAAGCTGCAAAATATGACATTTTTGTTCTTGGGGTAAGATACACTTTAAGGAAACATATCAGAAGCTTGTGCTTGAGAAAACAAACACAACAAAGAAAGGGAAACCTTAAACTGTAAAAGTACTCCCCACCAAAAGCGCTCTGGGAAAGCGAGCCTTCTAACCTGCACTTGTAGTGTGAAAAGAAATGTAGATGTGAAAACACATCATAATGAGTTATTATTCCCCTGGCAAATGCAAACAATACTTCTCTCTGAAAATAACTTCATCCAGGAAAAAAACATGCACAGTGTTCCAGTGGATCATAGCAGCCGGCCAAAACTTTTCCCCTGCAGCTATGGGAAGAGGAGCTGGCAGCCGGCCAGTGGAGGGAGTTTTCTCTGCCTGCATGAAGTCATTACTGAAATCCAACAAGTTAAAAAAAAAAAATGTAAACCCTGACTTCTAAAATATTATTCAGATGGAGGGTATGCATGTGACACACCCCTGGATCTGAAAGTTAGCCTTTTGTAGTTTGGATAATTCATCTTTCACCTCCCACTGGGTGGAGCAGAAGCTTACAAGAGAAGCTGGAATGTAGTTGTTAGGAGTGTTTTGCTGCAGTCTGGTGCATCGCCTACTCTTCTATACAAGCAAGCACTTAGCAAAGACTATCTACAACTTCTGTTATAATAAACATCATCAGAAGACACAAGTTAGACATCTGAAACAGCAGAAATCATGGAGGAGGATTCAATTCAATTAGAGCATGCCATAAGTGAAGAGAAGGCTGGTGTACATGAAAGTCAGGAGCTGGTGGTGCCCAGCCACAGCCCTGCAGAATCACCCAGCTCCAGCCCCACACCTCAACAACATGTAGTGGATTCCATCAAAGACAGCAATCAAGTCAACGCTATCACAGTCCTCACCCTGCTAGATAAACTGGTCAACATGCTGGACTCAGTACAAGAGAACCAGCACAAAATGGAAAAGAAGCAGATCGACATTGAAAACTCGGTCAAGGGGATTCAGAGTGACATCACAAAGTTATCCAAGAGCCACACTACTACCAGCAACACTGTCAGCAAACTTTTAGAAAAGTCTCGCAAAGTCAGCGCCAACATGAGAGAAGTGAAGGATCGGATGGACAAGCAGACAGCACAAGTCAAGAAACTGGAGAACAACCAGAGCCAGCTGCTGAGAAGGAACAACTTCAAAGTTCTAATCTTCCAGGTAGGTGACACATGACTGGTGATGATTAGGGAGTTTGGCGGTGTCAGACACTCTATATGTTGGCATTTATGTGTTCATTTTTCCAGTATCACCCTGGGTATGCTTTTTGCAAGCTGGTACTCTGACAAAGCCACTCCTGTTTTACTGTACTGCAGCTGGCTGATTTATATTGTATAGCAGCCTTTCTCAACCATTTCACCATAGAGGAACCTTTCTAATAGCCTTCAGTTTTCAGGGAACCCCAACACAAATATTATTTTTACACCTCATGGTACATTAGCTTGATCAGTAAGTTGTAGATCATTTTAGATAACAGAATAAAGAATGGGATGTGCTTAACATACCCGCTGTATATGACAAAATTACTTTCATCAACAATTATGAAATGAAAGCAATAATCATGACCAGAAAAGAAACAGACATTTACATTGTATCGACTCTTTACATTGGTGGTCAGTGTAGAAGTGACTCTTTATGTTGGTGGTCAGCGTAGAAGTGACTCCTTACATTGGTGGTCATTTTAGAAGTGACCTCTTACATTAGTGGTCAGTGCAGAAGTGACTCCTTACATTGGTTGTTATTATAGAAGTGACCCCTTACATTGGTGGTCAGTGTAGAAGTGACTCCTTAAATTAGTGGTCATTTTAGAAATTACCCCTTACACTGGTGGTCAGTGTAGAAGTGACCCTTTACATTGGTGGTCAGTGTAGAAGTGACCTTTTACTCTGGTGAATAGTGTAGAACTGGCTCTTTACATTGGTGGTCATTATAGAAGTCACCCCTTACATTGGCGGTCAGTGTAAAAGTGATCCTTTACATGGTGGTCAGTGTAGAAGTGACCCCTTACATTGGTGGTCATTAGAGAAGTCACCCCTTACATTGGTAGTCATTAGAGAAGTCACACCTTACATTGGTGGTCATTAGAGAAGTCACCCTTTACATTGGCGGTCACTGTAAAAGTGATCCTTTATATGGTGGTCATTATAGAAGTGACCCCTTACAGTGGCGGTCATTATAGAAGTGACCCCTTACATCGGTGGTCATTATAGAAGTGACCCCTTACAGTGGTGGTCATTATAGAAGTGACCCCTTACATTGGTAGCCAGTATAGGTAGAAGATTAGCCACAGCTTTCTCTACAAGGAACCCTTAGCAAATTCTAGCGGAATTATGGTTGAGAAAATCTGCTGTATAGTATTATCTAATTTATTCATCAGAGACCAGTTGTATCCTGCAGTAGTAGAATCTAGTTTACTGATCTGTGCAGTTAGAGTATCTTATCTTTGTAAAACCTTCTTTTGTGCCCCTTAGCTTTATTAACTCCAGCAGTGCTGAGTATCGCAACCCTAGACTGGTCTGTACATTAACAAGCTTCATGATGACAGAGTTTATGATCAGCAAGCTATGGGTAACCTCTCCTGAAATATGAGTAAGAATATAGTAATATTCACACGAGACCACTTCATGTATAGTAGAAGTTTTCCTATTGCCTTACATAGCTGATATAGGATTGCCATAGTACAACAAGGTAAGAAACACGTTTCTGTCTGGCTACATAGTTCCAAATAATCCCAAACTTTCTTATCCTTAGATAAACTGTATCATTTAGGGTGGGAAACCATACATGGCTGAAGGAGCGTGGTCTTTTGGGTGCGGTCTTGGCTGCTGGAGGAACAACCTGCAAAATATACACAAGGAAACTTGTACTACTGAGAGAGACATAGTAGCTGCCATTGCTGGCATCCTTGTAAAAAATGCTAGCTGCCTGGCTGCCAATGCCTTCAATGCTTTCTGTGTTACTGACCTGGAAAAAGCATGCAGCAAGTTATAACAGCATTGCTGATCTTATGCATGTTCCAGGTCAGAGACTCAAATATTGACATTTATTGGGTTAGAATGACAGCCAGGTAACCAGTATGTTTGGAAGAAGAATCCGCAATGCCAGCCTGCAAGTTACCTCATTTCATATAAATAGTAAAGTTGATTGTGGAGCAAATGAAAAAAATTACACTTCTGTATAATGCCTTAGACCAGCGGTAGGCAACCTCGGCACTCCAGCTGTTGTGGAACTACAAGCCCCATGAGGCATTGCAAGACTCTGATAGCCGCAGGCATTACTCCCAGAAGCATGATGGGATTTGTAATTTCAGCCCAGCTGGAGTGCCTTGAAAAGCCGTAATGGATTGGTGCTGGTTGTTTACAACAGCTTGTATTATGTATGCCTTTAGCTGCAGTATAACGTCTAATAATGAAAGGTACCTATATGCAACGTAGAAAAGTAGTTTATTAGGAACCAATCTCACTATGGAAAGGAGCTTTGTCTCTTTGGACATTTAAAGGAGAACTATGGGATGAGTAAAATCCACTCACCCTCATAATTAGAGCCGACGTGTGACACTGAAGCTGTCACCTCACACCTCAGCTCTATAGAATGAGAACTGAGCAATCACATACTGCTTTCCCCATCCCCACATTCCTCATTTTCATCCGGGGATTCCCCCCTCCCTCTCCATTCCTCCAGCACTGACTAGAAGGACAGACAGAGGGTGGGCACAGCTGGCTCTTGCTCTAGAGAGGCAGAGCCAGCTGTCAATCAGGCAACAGGGTGGATCACAAAAATGTTGTTGGGATCTTTTCTAGCCACAGCCCAGCTTTGTGCTGTCATCATATAGTAATAGCCCGCTACATGCTGAGTTTTGGGTCACAGGAGGACATAGTAAGTGTCCTCCTGTGACCCTAAAGAGTTGGGCAATAGTTCTCTTTTAATATATGTTATCTAGACATGGACTATGAACTAAACGTTTGGATTATAGGGTAAAAAAAATCCCATCCAGCTGGTTCGAGATTCTGCGGATTTGCCTATATTACCAGTTAGCATAGATAAGGAATGTGTGTGGTAATTTGGTGGCTTAGTCATAATTGTTTCCTTATTCCTAGTAACCAAAAAATAAAGCATGGATCAAAACACAACGGTGCAACCTGAAAAGGCATTTTCTAATGCTGGATCTCTTGAAGCCAGGAAATATTGGTGGTTAAAATCTGATTGAAAGCAACAAAATTGCCATGTATACAGCCAGTATTAATGTGAGCTCAAAGGAAACGTGTCACAAACCTGGGCAATTCCAGCTGATCATATGCTTACAAAATGCATGAACTGATCACCAATGAAATAGTCACCTGATTTTATATGAAAATCTAAATTATTTACATGAAGGTTAATCTTGGCCCCAGCCCTCCTGCCTCTCAAGTTTTCCTATTGGTCATTCAATATATGGTGGATATTTTTCAATAGAAAGGCTTGGGAGGAGAGAAGGGGAGTCACCCAGCTTGCTTTTTACAGGAATAGTCAAGATTTGCATGTATCTCTGAGTCTACTGAACATTTTGACACGTGGTATTCACTGCTTACACATTTGTTTTCATCATAAGTTTATATGACTCCTAGTTACATAGTCCTCCTGCACTTACATACAATGATGGAGAGAATGGCGTCATTGACTCATCCACCTTACCAACCAGTAAGTGTTTGCCGCCCCTCTCTACCAACCTCTCCACTGACTCCCACTTGCCCAATGAATAAAATTCAAAATACTAACAATAACATACAAAGCCATCCATAACTAGGCCCCTAGCTAGATCCTTCCTGTCAGCTTACGAGTACGGACACCTGCCCCCGCACAGACGTGCAGGGCGGGTGAGCATAGGGTGGCGTATGGCTGCATACTCCCATAGAGAAAGACAGGTGCTGCGTACTAATCACACGCAGCACCTGTACTTCCCGGGAGCTGCCCGATACGGCCGTGCACGCAGCACAGAGCTGTACATACCAGCCTTTTCTCGTGTGAATGAGGCCTTAGTGTATTCACTGATTATTGATGTCATCATTTGTGAATTCTGTGATAAACTTGTAGTCTAATATAAATCGTTGACAAATGGAATAAGGTAATATTCTCATTCCTGCATGTGAGGCTGTACACCGTCTTTGTGCTGATATTAAAAATCGGAGCTGCGGAAAGCAGTGTGTCAGAGCACAGAGCTCCTGCATCTCCATAGGGTTGCATGAGCTGCCCATATGCTTGTTCCTGCAGCTCCGAGTGCATCAAAACCCATCCTTTCTCACTGTACAATGTCATTTTCAAATGAAACGTGCACTGAAATGTAATATTATAGTACTTTGGCAATTAAATGTTTTCAGTATAGTTCTGACTTTTAGTTTCACCACATTTCAGTACTGTCGTTAAAGATTATAGTGGCAAATGCAAGCCAAAAATGGAAAAAATAATCAGACTTTCATCATATGTCCATTTTTGGCTTGTAAGTCTTAATTTAACTCTCTGCTATGAGAATTTCCCAGCTCGGAGAGAGCTGGAGAAAGTGAGAGGTAGTGAGTGCATGTGCCACTCTGTAAGGGTATGTACAGTTTTTGCATTTGCCAAATGTTGGTGATGCAGTTAATGTAGTTTATTATCCATTTTATTGGGACCACATGGTGTGTACATATTCATGTGTTTGGAATGTTGACTGCGACATGTATAGACAACTCTTGATGGTATTAGTTTTGAGGGAGCATGGATGTTTGGACAATGTGAGGTTCCTGTTGACACAATAGTGTATTTTTCACAAAATAGAGTTACTGTAAAGAAAATTGGTGTACATACGCTAAGCCCATGTGATGGATACAACTTGCAGAGCATTTTACAATATAAACATTTTCCACTTTAGTCAAAAAGTGTCCTGTCCATATACAAACTCTCCTTCCATTTAAACCAATGGTGCCTTGGCCCTCAATTGTACTCACTGCTGTGGGATCATTACTTGATGATGAGAACTGACAGGGTTATATGAAGAGGAAAACACCTACCTAAAGAAACTCTTGCACCGTAGTAAAATATACACTTCCCAATAGTTTAAGCCGGCATGTGACCCAGCAGCTGTCACACACTGGCTCTAAAGAACGAGACCTGAGCAATCACAAACCACTGATCGCTCAGCTCATGGCTTC